GTGCTGAATCTGCTAAGTTTAACCTGGCACAGCAGTTGATATGAACCACATGTGATCCAGGAACCTCGTCCTTATTAGTGGAGGGGAAGGCCTTCTGGAAATGCCCTATTTGAGTGTTCAAGGCTGGTCGGAGATCAGATAGGTTCAGGGAGGGTAAGAGGGTAGAGAGAAGCATCTTAGGAAGAGTAAATATTTTGTTTTGTTGAAATTTCATTGTGTAGACATGGCTGGCCTCAAACTCATGGAGATCCCCCTGCCTTTGTCTCCTGAGCGCTGAGATTAAAGGCATATGTTAACATGCCTGATCCTGTTCTCCAAGTTTTATAACTTCACATTTTACATTTAACTGCATAGTTCTTTGGAGTTAATTTTTGCATCGGATTTGAAGTTAAAAGAGAAGTATTATTTAACATTGTTGTTGTTGATATATGATAACACCCTTCCAGTTGCTTCTGTATTATTTATTTATCATTTCTTAAGTACAAATAATGTTACTAGTTATGAATTTTACAATAGATTTCTCTTTAATATTTTTATTAATTCTGTGAGAATTTAACACAATATATTTTGATCACAATTATCTCTACAGCTCCTCCCAGATCCATCCTTACCTCCCTACCCAGTCAACTTTGAATCTTCTTCCTCTTTAAAGAGACCCATCAGGTCCAGTCTTGCTCACCTGGCCCTGGACAGAGCTCCATCTATGAGGACCACACCATTAAAAAAACTAACTCTCCTTCTCCCAGCAACTTCTCTGCTAGGGCTGGGTCTGCATACCCCCTGCCCCTTTCCTATTGCCCCTCTCCAGCTGCCCCTTGCACAGATTATTGTAAATGCTGCTGTGGTTGCTATGGGTTCTTATGTTCCACTGTCCTTTTGTGTTTGGGGAACAGTATTTCCTTTAAATTATCTGCGCCTTCTTGTTCTTAACAATCTTTCTACCCCTTCATCAAGGCAAATCCCTGTGCTTTGGGGTGTGAGGTGTGATATGTATATTCCACTTAAGGCTGAGTACTGCATAGTGCCTTATTCCCTGCACACTAACCAGTGGGAACTCTGTATGTTAATTGCCATCTACTGCAAGAAGCAGCATCTCTGATGAGTTGAGAAATGCGTGATCTATTAATAGAACAAGTCATTAGGAGATACTTTTTGTTTGTTTATTTGTTGTCTTTTGAGCCAGGGTTTCTCTGTATAGCCTCGGCTGTCCTGGACTTGCTTTATAGACCAGTGGCCTTGACCTCATAGAAATCTGCTCGCCTCTGCCTCCCTGAGGAATGGAATTACAGGCGCATGCTACCATGACCGGCTAGAAGTTACTTTAATACTATGTCCATTTAGCAAACTAGTAATATTAGGTTCTTCCCTACAACTGGTGATCTATCTAGCCAAAAGTTCTTGGACCCACTGACAATGGCAAGTATGAGTTACATCATGGAGAAGGACCTAGATCCAATCAGAAAGTGTTTGATTACTCCTACTATATTTGTGTCACTATTGCATCCATGGACATATTTTGTCAGGTTGGTTGTAATTCACAGGATTCATCATGGGGTGATACTGATGATTACTTTTCTCCTTCAATAACATGTGTAGTGCCTTCCAGCACTGTGAAAGATAGCAAGTAGGAATGAAGCTTCCAGGTCAGTATCAGCTTGGCATCTCCATGTTCTATAATTCAAGTTATATGGTTTCTCAGATGTAGGGTTTTACAGTCAAGTTCTGTAGGGTAACTGAGCATGCTGGCAATACCCTGTAATACTTGGTGGTCTATGGAGACCCACTTCCAAACAACTCACAAAGAAATAACCTATTCCTAATACTGTTTTCTCCTTCTTCTTCTTCTTCTTCTTCTTCTTCTTCTTCTTCTTCTTCTTCT